AATAATAATTGTTGAAATGCTAAATAAACTGTTACTATGTATTCGTTGGTATGGTCCTATAAATAATTGTTACAAATTTTTTTAAATAAGACAAGAACACGATCATATACTTCTATAAAATATTTAAAATCAATTAAAAACTTTCGATTTCTCAAATTCAGTAATCAAAATTAAACTTGAACTTTTATCTACAGCAATAAAAAACTTCAAGTAAAATGTTTCATAATCGAGTAAAACAGAATTTGATCAATAATCATAATTACACAGTAAAAAAATAAAATAAGCCAAAATATGTATACTTTCAAAATTATTGTTTAGTATAGTCACGACTCATAGTTGATATAATTGTAAAAATTGACTTTTTAACAGCATTTCGCTTGAAATGTGGGCTTGCTCAATCACGTTTTACTATTTAATATTTTGCTTTTTAAATTTATCAAAAAAACTATTTGTTTAAGTATAGTCTCAACACACTTTAATTCTTAATTTCTTATTATTTAACAAAAAAGTTTTTCTATTTTTCTGCAAATTACAATAATAAAGTTATTCTAATCTAAATCTCAATTTAATGTTTTCTGTGAAAATATGTGTTCCTTCATTTTAAATGTGCTGGTAACTGTTGTCTCCAGAACTCCTGTCTGGAATTTAAATATTCAACAGTTTCTTCGATAGTTTTAATAATGCTTGAATCATCCTCCTTGAATTTACATTTCAAATTCGGATTCTTCATCAAATTATCGAGATACTCCTTATCAGGCCCCAACTCCCTTAGCAGTCTGCTTTTCCGTGCCGACTTTACTTTGGACCCCGGAGTCGTCCTTTGCTCGGTTTTCCCCGACTCCGTCGACTCCGGACTACTTGTCTTCGACGTAGATTTGGGTGTTAGCAAATTGGCGAAAACATTAGGCGATCCGATTGCATTTTCGATGGCTTTCTGGGCCTTGTGCACCCCCAGTTTGAAGTCTTCGTGATCGGGTCGGATGTGGAGACCTCTGTGGTAGTACATGAGGCTGTGCTCGAAGTCTCCGAGATAGTAGAGGGCTTCGGCTTTCTGGTAGATTGCCCTCAGGTAGGTTTTGTCAATGTTGAGGGCAGTCTCTGCGTCCTTTAAAGCGTTCTCTGGTTGACCCAGGAGAATGTAACATTTACTTCTTGCGACGAGAGCGCTTTTCTCGGTCGGATTCAGCTCCAGAGCCTGCAAATATTTACCGAATCAATACGACATGCACGCCAGGTTTTGTGCTCAATGATGACATCAGCCTGAAACAGAGCCTTGGATTATTTCCCATTAAAAGAGTTTGAAAATAGCAAACTTTGTTTTAAACATGCAACGAGTATTTTTATAGGAACAAATATGGAATAAAAGTTACAAAATACACAAGTTCATCAAAGAACAAGATTATTTTGTTAAAGATTTTTTACTTTTATACAGGGTGTCCTAGCAAGTTGGTAAAGTCCAATATTTTCCTTTAAACGATAAAATTTTATAAGATGTATACAAGGTGATTCTTTTAGGACCTATATTAGAAACTTTTTAACTTCTAATGCAGATAGAAATTTGAAATTTTGTACACAACCCAAATCAACCAGTCTGAGTTCAACTAAATTATTTTCAAAATGGCTGAACTTCCGCAACTACGAGAAATTGGCGCCAACTTTGAAATTTTAAATGGTAACCATTTTTATTGTCATAGTTTTTGTCATAGTTTTTGACATATGTCAATTTTTTGCTCAAAATTTTCATTTGCAGAGGTTTATTAAAAACATCACAGCTCTTGAACCGTTTGCAATAAGTAAATAATTTTTCTTGCATTTGATAACCAAAGGTTCGAAGAGTTTCCTAAAATTTTCAAAATTGTCCGTTGATTTATCCGGAGATTATAAAAGTCGACATAAATACCGACATTCGAATTATTTTATTGCAAAAAGTAAAGAATAATGAATTCAGTTTAACATAAATATGATTATTAAGTGATATTTTTTCCATCTTTTGTGTAACTGTGTACTTTTTGGCTACGGAAACAATAATATTTCTTATTATGTTTAAAGTTAAATATCTTTTAAGTTATTGTAAAGTAAATAATTATAGAAAGACAATTTAATAATCTCTTAAAACACATCTTATTTTTAAAACTAAGCCAAATCGCCAATAAAAGTTTAGTTTAAAAACACTGTCATAAAAGTCTACATCCAAAAATGCTAAGAAACATATGGTGTTTTATCTAAAAAACACAAGTTTGCATCGTAACTTATTTTTGAGACACGCTGTATAGTTGAAAATAATTTTAAGCGATGGACCAGATCAGTATCTATCAACGTCCTATAGATATATATATTTTTTAATTTTACCATTTAAAGGTCACTAATGGACTTTACCAACTCGTTGGGACACCTGTATTTGTCAATTCTCCAACGTCATAACAGTAGGTTTATATCAAAAGAAGCTATCTGCATTTAATTGAAGACAACAACAAGTTTTTTTAATAATCATTATCACAGTATTTTAATTTTAGTATTCATTATTATTTATTAAATAAAATTAGAAAAGATGAAAAAACATAAGGAAAAAATAAAAAAATATTTTTTAGAAATAATACTTTTTTAAAAAATAAAAATATCTATACACTCTGTATCATGTTTGTTATTTTATTTGTAAAAATCAACTGATAACGACAACAGACTAATAGCTTCATAAAAAAAAACAGTTTTACACTGTAATGAAATAAACTGCTCCATAAACGTTAAGGAAGTGTGCAATAATTACAATAATTATTTAAATTAATAAATTATTAAAAAATAAATCAATAATTAATTGAAAGTAAGATAAAGGCAGATATCTTTTAATTTTTTTGTTTTTGCTGGATTCCACAATGCTTAGAAGAATAAAATTTGTTTGTTGTAAAAATAATGCGACTTCCTTAACTTTTGTGGGGTAGTATATTTAATGTTACGGCTTTTTTTAACTCTTTGACATAAATTTTATGCAGGGTGATTAACTAGTTGGAAAATACTACCAGGTGAAGAAGTCTAAAACCAAACGTTTTTTCCTTAAAGTATTTATTTCTCGAAAAATCTAATTATTGATGAATGAAAAGCACTATATGGAAGTTTCTCAAAAATATGATTTTTCCGAATTTTTTTTTATTTTTGAGTTCTGCAAAATTATTAATTTTTACAAATGTCAACCCACCAAATCTTTTTTTTAACATAAGCTATGATTTATGAATTACAAATATCTACATTTTATTCAATTTTTATCGGAAAAAATTTAATATAACTACAAGCTAGATTATAAAAAACGCCCCAAGCCATACTTTCATTACTTTTAAAAACGTAACAATACATTTTTGATCAAAGTTGAACAGTTTTTTGTTATTAATCGTTTGCTTGTCTTAGATAAAATGAATATTTTTCCCACAGCCTAAAGATTTAATTTAATTTTTAAATTGCCTAAAATCAAAAGCTGGTTATAAAACAATAATACTTAGTAAACTTGATGAAAGACAATTTAATAAGGAATCCAAAAATAATAAAATATATAGAGTATTCCATTTAAAAAAACATGTTCACATTTTATAGCACTTTGATTTTTATTAATTATTATTTTCTGAGGGTAAAATATTAAAAAACCGCTTGGTTTAATACTTTTTGTTCGCCCCGTATGTATTTTATTAATGATACTCAAATATAATTCTTATTTGCTTTGTTACCTTACAACCTAAGTATTTTTTTCAATCCCCTTTCTATGTTACCCAATTTTTATACAACCATGTTTTTTTGTTTTTAGATTTTGGTCACAGTGTTGCTAAATTCATTATTTCCTTTTAATTTGTTAAACATTTTTTAAAAATTATGTCTAGTCTAAAATTTTTATCAGTTAAAAATTATAACCCAAATTATTTTTTTACAGTAACCATATTTTTGTAAAAAAACTTCTTGAACTGTTTATAGCATTTATTATTCGTTTAATGGTACCCTCGTCATACTTAAAAATATCTTCTGAAAATGCCAAGAAAAGGTTGAAAAAATGTTTAGACTGAAATTCGTCGGAATTTCACAATAAGTAATCGTTTTTACTACATCTTTTGCCACATGTCAACAATTAGAACAAATCGTTTTTCAAAACATGAAATCATAAACAAGATATTCCTTAACTTTTCACCACAATTTAAAAAACATTAACAATTTTTAAAAACAGCAAAGCAGTCCATGCACAACTAGGTTCGTTTTTGAATAATTTTTAATACTTGAAGATATCGATTATATGGAGTTTTACCCCAGTTGTATGGATTTTTCAGAAATATATATTTAAAATGGTAGAAACCTTTGACATAAAATTTATTGCAATTTGAAGATCCCCCCTGCACATTTCGTAATTGCCCAAGGCCAAAAATGTGCCAGGCTCCGCCTCTTCAGGAATTTGTAGTGCTTTAGATCGATCCTCCTTTCTTTTTAGTTTCAAGGATTGTTTTATGTCCTTAGATCCCATATTGACAGCTGCAGCTCTATCTTTGTCACAGTAGAGTTCTTCACGTCTGGGCCCATTACGTCTCTTTCTTCTTTTTCCCTTCTTTTTGATTTCCTCATTCAATTCTTGTGGGGGTGGTATCGATTCGTCTGTTTTTTTCTTACCATCATCGCCATCTTTAATTTCTTTCTCACTTTTTGGTTCCTCGGTTTTCACTTCCTCAGATTTTGACATAGAGTCGTCATCGACAATGTGAACCCCCACAAAGCTTTGCAAAAGCTCCGCTTCACGTGAAATACTGAGTCTCTTGTGCAAAGCGATGGGCGATTGTGTTAATTCTTCGGCCATGTTTGCTAATTACTAAAATTACCTTTGATGACTTTGTGCGGGATAATTCACACCTAATTTACCTCAATAATCGATGATAATTTGTGACCACTTTAAATTATCGAAAATTTGCACTAATAATCAGCTTTGGAAGCCGAGAAAACTGACACCCTTAACCGGGTTTCTATGGATACTAAGGTGTGATCAATTTTAACCATGGCACCCAATACCACTCACTTTTGTCAACACCTACCTTTGGAGGGTGCACTTGCCCTAATTTCAAACTTTAATTCAAACTTTACCTCTCATGTTTAATGAATTAAGTAATCAACACTTTTTAAATTTCTTTTTGAGTAAAATACTATAAAATGGTATAATTTAAGTCGTTGCCAATTATTGCTGCAGGATTTTGATTGAAGTCAGTTCCTCGAATTTTGATTGAAAATTGTTCAGCTAATCAAGAAAGTTGTGTTTGCCGGTGTTGCATGTAATCCACGTCTAAATTTAAGACCTTCGAGAAACGAGAGATATCGTTTTGCGCTCCCCGATACATTATTATTTGCGCCAAGTATTTACTCAGTTAACTGGAATTCCACAAACTGCAAGCTAATATATCGATTCCGAAATTATTCATATTAAGCACCGAGAGCAACACCTAAAAGCACTCTAAATTTCAGCTTGCACACGAATATTTTATTAACGACGTCATACTGCAATTGCTCAAATTGATTAAATTATTTATAATCGATAAGTAACAGGAATTTAAGAAGCATTTCGTGAATGTCATGACTCTCTTGAGTACCAGTTGCTTTTAAGAACATTTCGTAAATAATAAAACAGAACATAAAATGAAACGTTCTTTAAAAAGTTTCAAAAAACTTGCAAGTGTCTAGCATACAGCTGACCCCCAATCAAAGTACAAGAAACTTGCTGTTGCATCTTACAAAGTATCAAATTTTTAATTCATTAAATTAGTCCTGATTTTTTTTAAAACTAACATTTTTTGTCAGAATGGAGAAGTGCCTTTTTTGTGTGAGAAACGCTGTACTGGAATTTAATCAACTTTGAAATTCCGTTACTTTTTAAAAACTTGCAATTCATGTTAGCTTTTTACGGTGTTTCATTGAATTTGGTGGTGCAAAAAGTTTTACTTACCTTGTTATAGGAATAGATGGCTTTAGCTAAGTTCCCAACTTTAATGTGACTGTTTGCTTCCTCATACCAAAGCTTCGATTCTTTCTTTTGGTTTGCGAGTTTAATCATAGACTCTGTGCGTTGCCTTTTCCTTTCATCCGCCATCGCTGAATCAATAAAAACAACAATTAAAGCTCTTGAATTTTTCAAACTTCCCTTTTGTTTTTTTTAACACGCCAACAGCGTATCTTTAATGTAATCTCGTGATGGATTTTTATTAAGGTAATTATTTTTCCTTGCATGTTCAATTACAAAGGGAATTCAATTTCCGCAAACGTAATATATACGTGATTTATACGACTTGTGTAATGACACGAAAACTTATTTATTTATACAAATTATCCCACTTTTGCTGTTTAAATTTGGAATTTTTTAACTACTGTTCTTTAATGAAATAAGTTTGAAACTTATTAAAGTTTCAGACGAATTTTGTGACCTCATAAAATTATTCCCTTATAAACGCTTGCAACAGTTTTATTGTCTTATCAACTTTATTTATCGATTTAACGCGACAATATTTACTTATCGTGATTAAAACGAAAACATAAACTCATAATTCATAAGAAAAATAATGTGACAGCAAACTATTGACGTAACAAATATAATAAAAGCAGAGGGAAATATAATTTATTACACGTACTTCTGCACTAATTTTTGTCTTTTATTATAAGAAAACATTGCATTTCTAACTATATATAATTTATTTTTCATATTCTTCAATTACTTTCGTTCCTAAATACTATCCTCAAATAAATCAGGATATAAAAATAAAACACTTGTTTCCACAATTTCTTATTTCAAACCCCCAATCTCGTACATTGAAAGAAGCCTGCAAAGTTCCAAGTTTATTATTTCTCTCTAATTAGAAGTGTAAGAACTTTTCAAACTAAACAATACGCTGGTTTGCAGTGGGTATAGGCAAGCTTGGAACCATTATTTTTCTCTTATTTATTAAAAAAGCATAGATTTTTGTTTTTTTTAACAAATCTGAAAATGTGTAATTGTAATATCAGTCACAAAATTTTGATGATAAATAATTTGGAAAATCCCAAGTTCCGACAAAACTAAAATGTCTCCCAAATGATTACACGTCTGCGGTAATCTTGATCTGGAGCTTATCAAGCTTATCCTTGTAATAATTAAATTAATTGAATTATACGTATTTGAACTTAAACTTCAGTTAAATTATTACATTGTTAACAATAGAGTTTATTTCAAATTCAAATCTCATATTTAGTTTTCCTCTCTGAGTTACATGTTTAACTTAATGATAAGTTTAATGATCTTATCTTATACTGCATAAAGATCTTTTTAATGTTTCATCGATAACGATTAAACTTATTTTCTGAAATAATCTTTTCTTTGGAACACAAAACTTATGTTACCAAGCAATTAATTGAAAATTTTTAAATCGTTTTGAACTAATGTTGAACTCCAGTTCATTACTTTTTAATAATAACAAAAAATAAATTGAATAAAAAACAAGAATTTTTAATTATCCTGCTGTATACAGAGTAATTCAAAAAGTACGTAAAGTAGAAATTTCAATGGGCAATGTGTCCGCATGCACAGATTACGTAAAAAAAAACTCTTGCCTCTAAATGGAAAATTCACGTAGATATTTTTATTTTACAAAGTCCCTCAAAACTACTGCAATATAAACTTTATGTTTACTGAATTAGAAATAAACGCTATCATGAGTACTTGACGAAAAAAATTGAACCGTGCTCTTTGTGGATTAGTCTCTAGAAAACTTTGTCTATCTTTTTTTATTATGAATGTAAAATTATTTGTATCGCTAATAGGCTTAATGCGTCTGTTTTTATTCACATTATGATTTCTACGACCATTAAACAGTTTTAGTTTTCAGTAAATACGTTTTATACTTTTTGAGTATTAAGTACTAAAAATTTCAAATTATTTTTAGAGGAATCTTTAGGGATTATAAAGTTCAGAATTTCAATATTTTCTATTTTCTGGTATACATACCAGGTAGACAAAAAGTATGAAATTAAACGATTTTTGTTTAAACAATTTATTTTTGAAAAAACTAATTCATAAAATAATAAAGTACTTTAAAAATGTGATGTTTCTCAGGAAGAGTTTTTTTTGTTTACGCTCCCGAAAACAGCTGTTTTAGGGACTCATTAATGAGTCTTTTCCGGACTCAATATACGTAAAATGGTTATTTTAGGTATTCAGTCCTCAAAATAGTTTTTCCGGACTAAAAAATAAAACTGGTTACAAAAAAATTAAAAAATAATTTACAAAAAAATTGTTTGTAACACGTGCCTAAAACGGTTTCACCTCGTCCGGAAACAGCAACGATTCGTCCGCAAAAACTGTTTTAGGTAGTTCTAAGACAAAAAACTATTTAGAAATTTTTTATTTGTTTTTGTCTTGCACAATTTTTAATTTTTACAATTTTTACAAATGACACCCAATTACAAAACCTTTTTTTACAACTATCTACATTGTATTATTTTAATTATTATCGAAAAAATTTCATAAATTGCCATTTTGATCGCAAATAACTCAGTCACAAAACATTATATTTCATTCTCAAAACACAATCACATTTTTATAGCATTTAAATTTTTATTTATTCTTATTATTTTAAGTCAAATAAAATGATTAAAAAACGCTTGCCGCCATACTTTATGTTCACCTTGAATGCAATGTGATTTTAATAGTTGAGAAAAATTTTAAAAAGTAATTATAAAAATAAAACTAAAAAGATTCGTATAAAGTAAGTTATAAGTTATTTTCGTATTTACTGTCCTCTACTATCATCTCTTGAAATTCCTGCACAACTATTAAAGTCACCCTGTATTTTAAGTTAAATAATTTGTTAAAATTTTTGATTATTTATCAATATTATTATTAGCAAATTAATCAGATTACTTATGCCTTAATAAGATTAATTTAAAAATAAAGTTATTTTAAGATTTTAAATGAAANTATTAAAATTTTTAGTTCTGCGATAATTTCTAATAAATGTATTGCTCATACATAATTTTATTAATACTCCACAAAAAGCAACAATAATTCAGTTTTAAAAATTTGATCTTGACCTCTGCATTAACTAATAAACTCTAAAATATTGTTAAAATAAAATCGATACTACATAAAAAGCTGTTTAATAAAAGAATATTTTGATACCAAGCTGTCATATAAACAGTATGGTTTTGGTAAATCCAACTATTCTTAATTCACTTGAATAAAAGTGAGAAAAATAAGTGATGATTTTGGTGGACGCGCCAGGTAGAATAGAATTCAAAAATTACAAAATAATGTTTTATTTGTAATAATAAAAAAATTAACTGCTTTCTCGTCTATAGTTAAGAAGCTTTTATTTGTATTTAAGATGCAAATTAATCGCAGCTGTGGTGTGTACACAACAGGTGAAAAGAGTCCGTACATAAATATTAATTACGCCACCATAAAATTACAAACTCTTATTTACTTACTTATCGTAAAATAAACACGCGGATGCTAATTTATCTCGCATAGAAATTACGAGTGACTTTTTGTAGTCATAACAATAAATAAGCGAAGGTATGTTAAATTACCAATGCTGCAAGTTCATAAATAACGTCCATAAACTTTTAAGTTTTAAAATCTTTCCTACTTACCGTGAAAGAGGATAAATTTTGTCAGAAAAACTAAATCCTTAACTTAACGACAAGTCGACAGTTCTTGTCCAAAAGCACAACATCTGCGAACTTATTTCGTATTAAGGACAAATCCGCGCGCTAAAGGGATTAGAACAAACTGATTACGGAAACGACCGCGAACAAAACCGCTTATAAACCAACCCCATGACTGTATCGGCAGGGGCGACTCGTACAGGTGCACACAATAATCGATAGTTCAAAATTCAGATTTCTCCAGAGAATCCAGATTTGAAAATTCATCTAGAAGAATGCAAGGAATCTCAATCTCCTTTTGTGGTGTTTGAAATTGAAATAGAAATTCCGAGTTCATATAAAAGTGAAATTCCACGTGCAATAATTTATTGCTATAGATTCAGGTTTGCTTGTTCGGTACGATATTAATCAAACTGTAGTATATTTTATCATAAATGTTAAAAGAATAAAAAGCGCTCTTATGCTATAAAACCACAAAAGAAACCACCATCCATAAAGTTAACATTTTTTATGCTCTGCTTATGTTGAACCTGCATTTGAAATCGTTTCACTCCAAGACACTCCAAGATTGTATACATAAATGCTGTTAGAAATTAAGCAAAAGAGCAGTATTTTATTTAAATCCCGGGCACACCAATCAATAAAGTCAAATAAAATAATACATAAACATCATGTTAATTCATAATTCTTCTGTTGCGTGTATGAAATTGACTCATCTATAACACGCGATTTGTCTTCGAAAGTCTTAAATGTTCCCTTGGTTCCAAATTATCTCTGTCTCTCTTGACATTATCTTTCAAAGACGTGCATTATACACCATTTATTTGCCAAAGTAATGAATTGAGGTTCGCCTAATTGAGGTCTAATGTAATGCATAATGTTTGTTATTTTGTTTTTAGGTCAAAGCAATTTGTTGTTCGATTTGAGTTATTTGAAAAACATCATTTATAAACTATAATGCGCCACTTTTATGAACAAAATATTCTTCAAAACTTTGTGCTCCGAGTCGTAATTCATTCCAAATTGCTACTTTTATCTTTTAAAATTTAAGACAATTATTTTATGACAGGTTTATTACACAAGATACTAATGTTTTGGCAAGTTTCAAGACTAAAACTAGACTTAGGCCACGCAAAGTTTCTGCAATTTTAAAACTAAATTGGTTCTCGTGCATTATGTCAGTTTTTAATTTCTTTATTTTATCACAAAAATACAGCAATTTTTTTATACAATCATCAGTATCCTAAAATAGCTAATACTGAAAGGCAAAAGTGTTCCTAAAGTTAAGTTTCTATAAAATCTATTCTAAATTATTGAATACCATAAACAACAAATTATTTAAAAAATTATTCTTACAATAATAAATGTACAAAAATCTACAGGCTGTACTATTAAAAAAAATGTCCCAAGCTATAAACTATATTATTGTAAAAGATATGATAATACATTATGATCAAAGTTGAACAGTTTATTGTCATTATTTATATTGATCCAGCGTCTATACCAAAAATTGTTCACAATAATCTGTTCAACTTTGTCATCTTTAAAAATAATGAAGTTATGGTTTGGAGTTTATTTATAATCCGGTCTGTATAAAAATGAAGGTAAGTAAATACAAACAATTTCACAAACTTTTAATTCTTATGACAATAATAATGATTTTTTTAAAGGCCATTCTTTTCAAGAGTACACGTTCCTGTCGCCAAAATAACACAGTTTTTACATTTAAAAACAAATTTATAATGTATGGAAGACCAGAAAAAAATGCTATATGTATGAAAATATACTACAACGTTTTTTTATATTTTTTATTAATTCAATAAAAAATTGAATTTGCAACCAGCTAAATAAATGTAAACAGAAACACATTTTAAACACTGGTAAGTGTACGTATACATAAAAATTTGAAAAAATGATAAAAATAATTTTGTAATAATCGTAACAATTAGTTTTTAGGGTAAAACTGCCCTAAAAATCGGCACAATAAAATTAAGTCAAATTTCAATTTATTATTTTTGCTAGAAGACCAGAAAAAAATGCTATATGTATGAAAATATACTACAACGTTTTTTTATATTTTTTATTAATTCAATAAAAAATTGAATTTGCAACCAGCTAAATAAATGTAAACAGAAACACATTTTAAACACTGGTAAGTGTACGTATACATAAAAATTTGAAAYAATGATAAAAATAATTTTGTAATAATCGTAACAATTAGTTTTTAGGGTAAAACTGCCCTAAAAATCGGCACAATAAAATTAAGTCAAATTTCAATTTATTATTTTTGCTAGAAGATGTAAAAATTTATTTGTAGAATTTTTTATTTCATTATTTTAGAAAATCAAAATACAGGCTGTTTCAGAACTCGCGCCCTAGCCCTATAGAATCTATCAAAAAATTTTGGTAATTTTTTGTATAACAAAAAAAAACAGCTATTAAGAGGTCAGCAACACCTAAATAAATTTGAAAATTTAAATTTTTGCCCTGATCTCCCTTACATTCTAAAAGCTTCATCAAATCATCAGTGTAAAATATTTTGTATTCAAAGCAATAACTTAGAGGAGAATGAACTGAGAAATACACAAATTATTACAAATAACTGAGATAAATTGCACAACCAAGAAAACGCTAACAGTTTTTCACTAAGAGTCGGTTTATACATAGAAAGCAAATTAAAAATTAATTTGTTATTAAAAGTTAATACGCCTTTAACCGCGCGAATCTGAGAATATGGTTGGTTCAATTTGGTCACGTGATCAGTTAATCTGACGTTTGATTGCATTTAACTTAATGACGCTTCTATAAACCGACCCGTTATGTATCTCAAAATAGCAATAATTTTTTTGTTTTTAAATTTATTGATTTCAGCTTTTATTTATTGTACAGAAAATACAGGGTGAGTCATTTACAAGATGTTTCAGAACTCACACCCCAGAAAAAAAAATTCAAGTAAGATAAGAAAAAAAATTCAATCTGACAATAAATTTTGACATTTATTTTTTAAGATTTGATATTTTTTATGTCTATTTAGTGTTACTGGTGATCTTGTAGGTATGTTTTTTTTTAATTTTTTTTAACACTGTGACATTTTCCATGTATCAGTTTCTTTGCTATTTGAGTACATTTTGAATTCAAGGAAAAAAAGTGTAAGTGATGACATTGTCAAATTTAATGAATGACATATCAACTACTTTGATTTAAATTTAATAAACATAACAAAAGCCAAGTTGTCTGGAAATAAATTTTAAGTTGCGTCTAAAAATTAGTTAGGGTCTTTATTATAAATAACTCACCCTGTAGTAAACCAAAAACTCTGTAAATACAAATTATTAAATTCAACTTTCCGGTTCAATATAAGTAACTCTCTTCAACTAACAATATTATAATAATAATTTAAATCATTCCGAACTAAGAAGGCTACTTTTTCACAGCATACTTAAAGCTTAATTTGCAGATGATGTAATATTTTTTCCAAGCAATAAACATTGATTTTTCAATGACCGTTATAAAAATATTCGTAAAGTGAGTCAGCACATGTAGATAAAATGTCATTATGTATTTATCTTCCAATTTGTAAGATAAGAAACTTGAAGACATTTTCCTGAAGGCCTGACCTACTACCAACTTCCTCATAAATACCACGAATTACTCGTAAATCATATCGTGTTCAATCGACTGTAAAATTATTCTCTAATTAAACTAGTTACACTAACTCATAGTCCTGTGCACTGTCACTTTGGTCTGAAACGATCTATCAATCCCTCCATGTCCTTTAATACTTGGCAAACTATTCCTGTACTTAAACCTTTCATTCTCCGGCCTCCCTCTCGGCTTCCCTCTACTCCCATACCTCAAAAGTCTATTGGTTTTCGAATCAAGCGGCACCACTTGCAGAACCGTATCCAGTAATTTGGCCTGTTTTGCCGGAGGCGTGGGATTATCAATGATAATCATAGCGTTGTGTTTTCTTTCAAGAGCAGCGTTCTTCTTCATGAGCATTTTCGCTTTCTTATTGAGCAATTCTTGAGCTTCTGGGTAGTGTGACAAGGCAGCATTTAAGTCAGCTTTGCTTAAAACAAACAGATTTGAGTGTCCCTGTGATCGGACGTCAGCAGTGCGGCGGTTCATTCCAGGGATTCCCAAGAGACTAATTTCGCCAAAAACAGAGCCTTCAGAGAGAGTTGCAAGAACCTCGTTTTCATGTCTTCCGATAACTTGGACTTTCCCGCATTGGATAATGTACATTTCTTTACCGACGTCGCCTTTTTTACAAATTATGTCACCAGGGAGGTAAATGACCGATTTCAGCTGGAGAACGAGCTCACGAAGGAGGGCTTCGTCACAGTCAGCGAAAAGTTTAACTTTGCTGAGGGTTTGAATGTGAACATTTATGGCGATGTCGGTCTTCATTTTATGGGGTAGGCAATCTAAGATGTTTTTCTCATCTACAAAAAGTGGAATAAAATCAATAGAATGGTAATTGACACACTTACCAAGTGTGTGTTGCGTCTCCCATGTATAGTTGAACCATAATTGGACCCTCCTTTGCATATCTTGCGGCAAATTCAACCTTCTCATATATTCCAAAGTTTCATCTACTAGTTTTCTGTATTCGGTTTTAGACCTTGTTGCCGTTGAAATTATGTCTCGTATTTGCCCTATTAACAAAGCGAATACAAACACGCCCATTAGCCATGACACCGTCATAAACATATATTCGATTTCTTGAGTCGGTTTTGGATTCTTTCCGATTGAGGTTGCAGTTTTGGTGGCAAAATAAAAGCATTTTATGTAGGCATTGTTGACTCCATCAAAAACGAAATTATTGCTTCCGATCCCTTCCCACGAAGAAAACGCATAATACGCACATGCGTTTACGTGGATTAAGTACATCATGTACATCAAAGTCCGGGTTATCCTTATTATGTAAGGATTAGCGAGGAGTTTGTCCACGAAACTGAAAAACTCCCAAAATGTGTGCAATTTGAAGAAGCGTGGGATGCGTAAAATAACACATTCAGGGCCTAATACCAAGTAGAGAAGATCCAGAGGTATAAGAGACACCAAGTCTAACTGAAAACAAAAATTTTATCTTCACAAACAAATTAAGATTTGAGATTCAAAATTGCACAACTAATAACAAAGTAAAAAAGAAGAAAATAATATTGCACACAGAAGACAGAAATATTATAAAAAAAGTAAATTAGTAAAAATTGTAGTTCATTTATTGTAAAATATTATAAAAAAATCATTGAAATGAGTACCGCACCAGTAGGTTTACCAGGTGTATATCGTAGTTCATACTGTCCCGTAAATTAAACTTTCCGGCTCCATTTTTAATCGAGGAAGTGAGCTGTTATATCAGAACCGGTAAGTGTAACCAAGCAACACTTACCGTATTGCTATTTTTGACACAATAAAATGTCAAATCAATTTTTTTGGCAAATTTGCTTGAAACAGTATGCAATAAAACACATTACGATCCGGTAAGCCATTCGTACTGTAATATTTGACTTACCGGCCTCATAACGTAAATCAGACTATTATTTCATACTGTTTCAAAAATTTTTGATGTGACTTTAGATCTTTTATTGCCTCAAAAATAATAAGTGGACTTACCGGTTTTAATATTGTAACAGCTCATTTAACTGACTCTTACGTACATACAACTTACACCGAGTCCGATACCGTATTAGTTCATTTCCCGGACTTAAAATATAGCTGAAAAGCTTAATCCACCAGACAATAAAATAATACAAATTTTCAACATTTATGTAGGTACCTATTTATTAAAGATAAATAATAATATAGTGAAAACGTGAATAGTTTTCACCACTTTTGAACACTTAATACACATAGGAATGTTTTTGTTAAATTTTCAAAGAATTTTATTTTATTACTGGGCTACTGAATTTTTAAAAAAATGTGCATTATCACTGTAAATTTTTTTCAAGTCTTATAACTTAACTAAAGTCTTTTTTATCTAAATAACAGTTTTATAACTATCGTTTTAAAATTGCAGAAAGAACCCTATATTAGCCACACAATAGTAATTTATGGTACAATTAACGAAAAAGCAAATAACGTTACAAATATCGCAACACGGTTTATTTTATGCTCAAAAAAAAAAGAAAATTACAAAATATTTTAACCATTTTTTTTCTATTTCTTTACCTAACAATCTTTTATAAAACTGTTATTATCTACAATTTTTTTTTACAGTTTGTATGTACTGTTGATATTTTGTTGTTTGTTAGTACCAAAAATTAACCATAAACTTAAACTGTTAAAGACAATAATTTTTGTTAATTTTATATTTTTTAATACCAATTGACAGTGATTTAAAAAAAATTAAAAAATGGTGCGTTTACGATTTATCCTTACTTATTTTCTTCTGTTCTAAAAGATGTAAAGTATTGCTTTTCTCACTTAATTACAGTCATGAATCGTCCTTATTTACACACTAATAAATAGGGTACCCACTTACTGAACCAGAGATCGCTTAAAATTTTAATAAATTCGTGCTTAAATAACACACACTAACTTCCCAAAAACACCTAATCTGCCTTTTAACCACGACGCGTTTCAACCACAAAGTGGTCATCCTCAAGTGAGAATTATAACTGTTATTTCAGTTATCTCAGTGACGACACCAAAAAGTCCAAAAGAAAATTAAAAAAATTAATTCATTATTTTCTAGATGTACGAGTACATATAAAAATTTGTTAAAGAATATTTACGTTTTCTTGTTGTTATACAGCTAATGTCACTTATAAATCTTATAATAGTCGTTAATTCTGAAAATTCCGCAATGCATAAAAACGAAGTTTATCAAAAGAAAAGATAAAATGTTTTGTTTTTTGTCACCAATAAATACTTCATAAAACATATCAGGTTTTTACCATTATAAAAGCAAAAATTAGATTTCAGGAGGTTCTAGAGATAAAGAATTCACAATCAAAATAACATACAAAATTAACAATGATATTAATAGCTATTAACATACCTAGGATGTTATGACATTATTACATCCCAGGTTTGTTCAAGATTTTATCGGTTTCTGTCGAATAAGCCAAAAATTGAACAAATTAAATCCAAAAATTCTTGAATATAATGATAGCTGCAGATGTCAGTTTGAAATCCGAGCGAGTTTACAATTTTACAATATCGATATGTCAGTAAAAATGACATATCGGTATTGTAAAATTGACATTTCAATATTGTAAAATTTTACAGCAATCAATAAAGTTATGTCATAGTTACCAGACTATTTTTGTGCATGTAACATTGCTAATAACAGACAGAAACCGATAAAAAAATAAAAACTACGTCTCCGATGTCGTAAATAATGCCGAATTTTAGTCAAATCAGATAACTTTGATCAAAAAAAAATATAATTTTCCATAAAAAAAACAAAAATAGTGAAAACACTTTTCATGGAAAATAAAGAAATAATAAAACAAGAAACGTAGTTAAGAAAAAAATTACGTTTCATTACCTTAAAAGCCTTTTTCTTGATGTAGTTATACCTAAGCTGCGCCATATCAGTAACCCAAAACCCCTCGTTCAAATATTTGACTCTTGGCTGAATGAGAATCATATCGAGCAAGTAAACAAAATCGGCTAAGTAATCAAACGCCATCCATACTGGCCTATTCTGGGGCGTTTGATATGGAAAAGTGCTCCTCAGAGGGATAACCCAGGCGTTATACATAACAGCCATGGCGGCAATTGACATCCACGTGATGTAAATTTTACCATTGGGGTCGATAACTTTATTATCCAAAACGTACTTAATATTCCTATAGATGGAATTTGATTTGGATTTAGTTTGAGGAACTTCGTTGATACTCTTGTCCGATGTAGTGCTTAGTTTTGGCTTGATTTGCACTGGGGGCGGCTCCACTGTCTCCCTGCTGCTGATGGAGGACGGAGTCGCAGGAGTCTCGATTCTTTCCCTTGCAGCTTGAGCCCTTGTGCTGAAAGCATCGACGAGGTGTCTGATTCGGTCTTGGATAAACTGGCGATTTGCTGATCTACAACCAAGTGTGAAACCCTTCACTTTGCAAGTGGATGAACCTACGTGGAGTCGTTTTCGAACGAGGGCGACCTATTCTCCTCGCGAACCTCACTTTTGCACGTTACTTTAGCACTGTCAACAACGTTTATTTTGTTGTATTTTTCTAACGGTCCATTGCACCATGACGAGGATTTTGCAGAAGGCGCTTTGCCACCGACTTGGTCCAAAGTTAACTTTTCCGGATACACCATTCTCTGCAATATGTTGTATACTTATATGGACGAAGTGACCAACGTGAACAGCAAGTAGTGTCTGAATCAGTCTTAAAACGATTCGACATGCCGTGTTTAGAATCGACAAATGGCATCGAATCAAATTAAATTAAGTGATTTAAACAATTACTGGCAGCAGGCTATTATTTTGTTAAGCGATTACCTTTTTGAAGCGGTAAATGTTTTCCATTTCTGACTATTAATGCGCGTTGCGTGTCATCCAGTTTGCTACTAGAGACATGAAAAGAGAAAACCGAATCGCAGGACGAAGGTTTCTATGGATACGGCGAGTAAATCGATTGCAGGATTAGATAGTGGGTGATATCATGGTATAACAAAGTCGCAATTTTGCAGGACTTCAACCTCTACCTAATATTTACTGATAGAATAAAAGTTTTCACAATAATATCACAAAAATAATAATTGAGATTAATATTTTAATAATAAAACCACGAGTGTCATATTAATTAATAATTGAAATGTTTATATTAATATGTATAGTAAAAGTATGTAAACACAAGCGCTTGATATAAATAAATAGAAGGTGTGATTGCGATATTGACCTACAAATCGTGATGGATTTGCTTAAGGGTTTTATTAGATAAGTACAAATCCAAACTGAGAAAAAATATTCAAATATAAATAAAATTTAGTTGTAGTTGTTAACGTCCTGCATCATTTGTTTATATAGTGGATCACGAGTTGAGGACAAATAAAAAACTTTTCCTTAAATAGCCGACGTTTCGAAATTTTATTATTTCATTATCAAGGCTTATAAGAAAATTACTATATGAGTTTTTTTATAAAATGCTTTTTTATCATTTTTTGTCAACTGTATGTGGTTGAAGGTAGCACTTTAAAACTATTGAAAACTATAGAATAGTATGTAAATTGATAACACATTAAAAAATCGACAAAACAGTTAAAATTGTGTATAAAATGGCGTATAAATTATAACATTTTCTACATATAAGAAACGAGTGATACATTCTGGGACTCATTTTTTGAGAAAATAATATTGGTTAAAACCGCATCCCGCTATCGTCTTTTGTTTTCGACTTACAAACAAAAGTTGACATTTTGGCGAAATCTAAAAAAAATCATATCTTCGTTATTATAGAAGATACGGATTTGAAATAAAGACATTATAGAGGCACTTTTTTACGAGGAATTTAATAATGTAGTTAACATTTTTTTGAGTTATTGGTTTAGCCGTAATAAAATAAACTTGTATTTTTTAAATGGAAATTATAGACGGCTAAGGCAATTTTGAAAAACTTATTTTTTTTTCTGATTTTTAACAGAATATTTTTTTTTATAATTAAGTATACTTAGAAAATCAAATACATATTTTGTTTGATAATAGTTGGCCATGGAAAAACTATATTTCACTCCAAATGTGTAAATAATAATCAATAAGAGTTCTGTGAACTGTAAAGTAGATGAAAAAAATAGATAAAATTTTAAAAATTTAAAAAATACGATACTGTAGAAGTATTGAACAAATATGCGAGCGCCTCAGAACAAAATTATAACATAGTTTAAAAAACTCCAAAAATAGGAAAAACAAATGTGTCAACAGTCAACACAATTAAAAAGAACATATTTTTGACGATCTAATGGAGGTATGATAACGTTCTACATAGATGGAATTTGGGTATTTGTATAGCCATACCGTCATTTTTGTGTCATATAAAATATATTTTACTGAAGAATTAAAGCGGCTTTTTTTACAACACTCTATGTATCACTAGACGTTACAATGGTATTGTTAGCTTGTTTAAAAACAAAGAAATATTATTAGTCGCCAATAAGTTGATTTATGATTTATTTTGCATTTTTTTCATTACTTAGTACTTAGAAAACTCTTTCATTAGTGACACTGGTTGAATAATATAGTTTAAATCCTTATAGTTGAAGATGTAACATTTTTTCATGGCCAACTGAGAACAAAAATCAAAGATAATTTTTTGCTAAAGATGTATTATAATAATTTGTTACAAATATATATACTTTAGATAAGAAAAAAACAAGCTTTTTAAAAATAACATATCTATGATTCCCATTTAAAAAAATACAAGTTTATTTTATTACTGCTAAACAAACAACTGAAAAAAAATGTTAACTACATTATTAAATTCTACGTAAAAAAGTGCCTGTATAATGTCTTTATTTCAAATCTGTGTCTTCTATAATAACGAAGATATGAATTTTTTTAGATTTCGCTAAAATGTCAATTTTTGTCTATAAGTCGAAAACAAAAGACGATAGCGGAATGCGGTTTTAACCAATATTATTTTCTCAAAAAATGAGCCCCAGAATGTATTACTTGTTTTTAGCTAAACCTATTAATTTCGGAGATTCCCTATTCCAAAATGCAGCATCCTGTACAATTTAATTTTCTTGAAGAGAGTGAACCACATTGACACGAAATGTCAACAACTGTCAGAAGTGTCAGATTGAGTGATTAAAATCCAACGGACTCTTGGTAATTTTTTTTTATTTTCATTTTTATGGACTTTTAGCCCAAATAATATCAATTAACAAAAATAACCCGTCCGGTGCAGTAAAGGTTAGATTGAATTTTAATTTTTGGTCAATGCTTATTGTCTAAAGTGTGATATTTTTTGCTATGTGTCTAACAAAATTGCTCCGTGGTCCCCTCTTCAAAAACAATTGCTAAACTCGAATTGAGTTCGTTTTAACGAGATACTACGAAGTGATCCAGAAAGACTGGGTCTGTTGGTAACAGATTTGAAAGTATTTTTGTTAATAATTTGAAACACTGCAACCGGATACGGTTTTGCTTGCCAAATACTTGACGTACAACTCCTCAAGATTGTTGAATTGTTGTTAATCAAAAGCGTATTGCAATGGTAGGTAACCTTTAAAAATTAGAGTCAGGATTGCCAACAGATTCATTCTTGTGCATCAGTTTGTATTTATTTGATTATATCTAAATAATGATAATTAATAAACAAAAAGAAACACATATTCAAAGCAAAGTAACTTTCAAGTACCTAACACTTTAGGAATTGGTAAATTGTAGGTTAAACAAAGCTTCAATAAAATAAACATAAAATTTATTGGAATAAGTCCTAAAATTTGATAACACTTAAATCAACATGAACAGTTTAAACAATTTTGCAAAAATGTTAATAAGTTAATAAAAACAAAAATCATTAAAATTACATTAAATGCAAATTATATTAAAAAACACCACTTTACAGAATATTAAACGAAATTTACAATTTTCCTCCTACTTTCTATATGGAGTTTATAGCTACTAAGCGGTATAATGTCAATAATGTCAAGTTTGACTGCTTCGGGATATACCTACATCAAGAAAATTGGACAAGAAAAAGAAGCTATGCTAAAAACGTCATTAATATAAAATTAAAAAACGATTAAAAAAGCTGTTATTTAAATAACAAACACTTGAAAAAAATATAAATGAACTCAATTTATAAATGCCCTGTGCTCATGGCCTCTAAATATTTACACTATACAGTACCCAGAAAATATCATCCTTATAAAGAACTCGCTTCATATTTTATGGATAAAATGTTTTATTAAAAATAATTCAAATTCTCGACTTTCCCTAAAATTACAACCCTGCATTTATTATAAGGATGTATTTATATAAGACACGCTTTTTACAACATATTTGTACTCATTTAATACAAAGAAAAATAAAAATAACATACTCGTAAATATACATACATTGGAAAAACTAAATATAACTTGATTGTCTTTGAACCTTAACAACTAATTTAAAATCTTCAATAAGATTAACTTCTTTTAGAATAATACACTGGTGTTCTTTAATTGCTTAACATTAAGTTTGCAGTCTTCAAATTGAGATTTTAGGTTATTTTGTACAGTGCCGGAAGTATTTATCGCCTTAATAGCAACGAATCAAGATTCATTCTGGATGCCAATAAATAATTATCGTCACCTATGGGGGCAGCTCTGAAACAAAAAAACGTCACTATCTCAATACACACCTAAACCAAACCACTCACAAGCTGCCATATTTCGTATCTCTGGCTAAGGTCCGCATATATGTCTTATGTTTGGCTTCAATTTTCGCAGCGACATCTCGCAACTCACTTACCACCTTAAAAAACTGCTTGACGTCATGATTTCCGTAAGTTTTAAATTGTAAAATATCTTTCATGAACGCCTCAGGTTGGCACATAATCAACTCCAGTTGATTCATATGAGACATAATCAACGAATGAATCCTTTGCAACTCCCTCTCCGGATCCAAGGTAATGTGAAAATTATTGCTATCACTCGATGACACTTTGCTACAACCCGGAGCCAACTCGTTCGGGGACTCACAACTGCAATAATAAATAAATCAACGAAAAAATCACCAAAGTGTTGTTGTCTTCATACCATGACCATCTCCCGTTAATAAATGCGGACGGATGATACTGATTCAGCCGATTTTGGTTATTCTGGCACATTTTCGTGAGCAAATCCACCCACTCTTTTTCTTCGACACAATTGGCCGCTTGGACATACAGAGTACGTCCATCTTGAACGATTTGGAACATGTTTTTCATCTTAAACGATTTCTCAGTTAGCCTTTCCACAGCCAAAATATTCGACAGAGGTATCTGGCACAGTGCCTCTTTGCCTTTGCTTTTAGCATAACTCAAATTGTGAGTTGTCAATTTGAAATATCTCTGCTTGAAGTTCTTCCTTCCGAACCTTTTTCGTCCTTGAGCACGCTTTATCATCAGTCTGTCAATAAAAAAAGATAATCATACAAATATACTTAAAGTGACCAAAACATTCAGAAATTATCATTTTTTAAAAACAGTTTACCAAAATTAAATAGTCCAGTGAAATTCGCAAAAATAAAGAAAATAAATTTAAAAACTATTCGATGCAGAAAGTGATTGGTTTTAATAATATTCTATGATCTCCCCTCCAGTTACAATATGTCCCCGTATTGATTTTACAAGAGGAAAATTTTTATCTTTAATTTCACGCCAAAACTGAAAAGGAAAAACATTTTTGCTTCACCTAAAACGAGCAAATATGTACTTAAAACTTCATTATTCTGATTCAGTGAAAAGATTTTAATTCTCGACTTAGAATAATATTTTTCTCTCCTTTTTAAGTCCTATCCCATTGGCGGTTTAATTTATTTGACAACTATATGTTACTTTGACAATTAATTTATTAATTAAATAATCATAGTTCTTGTTAAAAATGACTGGTTTTTATCTTAAAGCTGTTCTTTGAGTTGATATTTATTAAAATTATGTTTTTCACAAACATTTTTGTTATTTAACTTGCTTAAACTTATTTGTCAAAGTGACATCATTGGAAAAATAATAAAACTGCCAATGTGATAGAACTTAAAAAGCAGAGAAAAATGAACTTTTCTTTCTAGTGAGTTATAATAATGAAGTTTTAATTACAGATTTGCTCGTTTCAGGTAAAACAAAAAATGTTTTTCCTTTGCAGTTTTGGCGTAAAATCAAAGATAATTTTTTTTCCTGTAGTAAACTCAATCAGCGGACATATGTATATATAAAAAAATCCTTATAAATTCTTCACAAGAAAGATATTTACCACATTTTCTTATAATAATACTTCACTGAACTAATATACCTATTTTTACATAACTCAACATGATAGTGTTATTTTGGTAAACCATTTGAACTGTATAAAAATTCAAGTTAGCGACACAAAAACTGACCTTTTGATTTCCCTATCCGTTGCATAACAATAAGAATAGTTAGTACTTCAAGCTTTTTATTTGGAACAACAAAACTTACCCCTCTTTCAAAGTCACAGGTGTGTCGTTATCACGATTTTCCGGATTCGAAATGGCTGAGATAATTTCCAAAAATTGTCGAACTGCTGTGACATGAGTCTCGGTGTAAAATTCTTTATACAATGACTCCATATATTCCTCTTTGCAAACTTGCTGACTCGACCTGCAGCTCACAAGATTGCCTAGCGATTGGATTGTTTTCGAAATTAATGTCAGTGTCCGATTTATTTGACTATCCTGTAAACAGAATACTGTAATATTAGTTAGAAATTCATTAATAGTGACATACGATTTGTTCATTTGTCAAGTCAAAAAGTCGTGGTCCTAATATCGCTGGTGCAAAAAATCTCAAAAAAATAAATCCTGAAATGACTGAATATCTGACTTCTTTATTTTCAGGAAACCGTTTCATCGCACATTCCTTCAAATTGTAAAATATCTGGCACATGAGAGCTGGACAATGAATAGCGCTTTGAGTTATTGCTTTAAAAACTTTGAGGACGTAAGTTTTGAGATTGTTGAGATTTGTTTGGACGGTATTGGAATCACGGACGCGTGTTGGATCGATTTCACACGGTTTTCTTTCATTAAAAATGAGCTCGATTGTTGGACGTAAAGTCTTGTGTAGATACTGAAGACCAATGAGACGCATCGCTTCATCCATCATTTTCGAAACGAGAGTATTACCACGGAATATCGTAGTCGGATCCCTGTAAAAAAATTAACAAAACCAATTAGCAACACCTCTTTCACAGTTACGTCAATTCGCATTTTACAGAACGTAACTAATTCCACGGTAATTAAGTACGGTTTTGCTTATGATAAAATTTTAGTAAAGCTTGTGAAAAACATTACGGAGGCGGAAAATGTAAAGTCAACCCACGCGTTTAATTTAATGAATGAAAACGGCGCCGCCCTCACCCCTTGACGGCGGAGCTACCGTACGAAAACCCACACGTATTTCATTCAATTGGAGAAAAGAACCTCCCACTATTTTCCAACTTTGTATATGAAATGTGTATAAATATTTGATTGTGTGGAGGACTGCACCCACGTCTATAGAATCAATACCCACTAATTGGACGACAAGTAGTGTTTTGTTTTAAAAGGTGAAAATCTGAATTTGTGACATGGACGGATATGACGTCATTATTCGAAGTACTCTGTTTTCGGATCAATTCCCTACATTCTAAAAATAACAACTTATTGCAAACTAAATATTACAGGAAAAACAGGAAGAAATAAAATATATTTCCAATTTCCTTAAAATAATAAAAAAAAATATTGTCAGACATCAAACTTAGCAATTAATCCCAAGTCACTCATTTTTTTACATTACTTACCTACAATACTTATCAAAAAAAAAACAAAAAACTATTATGTATTTCTATGTTAAAAACACGTTCTTTTTTTATGAAAACATTGATAATGAACTCATTAAAACAACTACTTGACATTCGAAATATTTCCTTTCTAGTGACAAGTGATAGTGATATGTTTAAAAAAATATCAAGTGAATAGAAAGTATGAAACCAAACGTTTTTTGATCAAAATATTTATTTCTTGAAAAACTAATTAAGGAATGATAAAATACGAAGTATAAAAATGTGACGTTTATAAAGAAAAAAAATTTCGTAATATTATTTTGTTTTTGAGTTCTGCAAAATTTTTAATTTTTTCATACATTTTTTTTACAAAGAATATGATCTAAGAATTACAACTACTTATTTTGAAAAAAAATCACAACTAGAAAACAAAACAAAATTTGATTCTCAAAATACATATTCACATTTTTATAGCATTTTAGTTTTTATTTTCTGAAGGCAAATGTTTAAGAAAAAACGCTTGGTTCCATTCTTTTTGGCCACCCTGTATATGCATAAATAATTTTAGCACAGAAAACTCAAAACTGTACTTAACATGTCGTTAGATTACAAAACATCTTCCAAATAAAATTTGATGCTGTTTAAAAATATAAAATCTCGTGGTTCCGATTTTTGTCTTTAATAATCAGGTTAATGTGTGATAATACCTCGGAAAATTCTTTAAAAACTTTTTGTTTCACTTCATATTAAATGACCAAAAATCTTACTGAAAACCATGTCTGTAAGAAAAAAAATCATAATGTAAAAAAAAAATTTCCAACACTAATATCTAATACTGTTTAATGCATTTTTACCCTTACCTCTTTTGTTACCGTTATTACACGCTGCTCTATAAAATACGTCGTGAATAACGATGTACCAGATGATTGTAAATGATTGTGACTTTTTACCTCAAGTTGGTGTCAAATTTAAAACTTTAGTTTGGCAACTTTGACTTTCTAATTCGAACGTCAAACTTTTATAGGCAAATGTCATTCATCTGCGACGGGCGACTGCTTATTTAGCCGTCACCCGAAACATCCTGATATAAAATTAAATTATATTATTATATTATTATTAAAATTAAAAGTATGTATTACCATGTATTACCATTAAAAGTAATATTACCAATACTTCAGTGTTGCCAATAGATTTTTTTGCCACAAATATTAATAGTCACCCGGTACTTTACAAGTTCATACCTACATTAAATACACTTATCTTGGCATTTTGTTAATTTTGACATTATTTTCACAAACTGCTTTCTTTTATAACAATTTCTGAATTTGTAAAATTTCCGATCCAATATTAGTGTTGGAAAAAAATTTGAAGACAACACAAGTTTTATAGTTTAAAAATCTCGGTCTATTAAATTCCCGTTCCCTAAACTCTCTAATTCAAACTACGACCTTCATTTTTGTCTATAAAACTCTTGTCTTATAGCTATAAAACACATTAAATTGAAAATGGTTAAATTACAACTAATGTGAGCTACTTTGGCCTGTTTTTTTTGCTTTTGACGTTCATTGGTTGCAAAAATTATAAAAAATCAACATTTGAATATCTGTGCAATGTTTACATTGCGAATTATGTCGTCAAACATTGCAATAACGACGTCTGACCTGCATCCAAAATCTCACAAAGTTTCTTATTCTAACTGTTAATTTTAAGAGCGCTCACAATAACTCTATTGTCATAATATAACAAAAAACGCCATCAGATTAAAGAAACAGATCAACTTTAATGTCTTTATGATAGATAAATAATTAATTTTAATCAGTTCTAATCTATTCAATTAATTCAAACTATTTTATTGCCCACCAACTGTTTTACATTGAACCAGTGATTTTTTAACTATTCAATAAAAAAAAACTAAGAAAAACTGTCGGAAATTCAAAAAATCAGTGTCAGAGTGACCTTTTGTTTCAATAAAAATAAACGACACTTTATTATCCGTACTCAAATAAACTGAATACTTACGTCAACATCGAAATTTCGGCGTCGGCCAAAGCCTTGATGATGGGAACAATTTGACCATGATGCATAAATATCCTAACCAAAGGTTGGGCAATTTCCATCTTACTTGATATGATTTCGCCCAAAACGTATACAGCACTTGCAGTAATCGGCTGTTGATTTAAAAAAAAAAAAAACACAAAAATTTGAAACACTTCAGAAAAAGTCACAAACCTTCGTGTCAACACTTTTCAGCAACAAATGCTTTAAAGACTCGTAGATTTCTGCAGGAAAAACCCTGTCCTCATTATACTGCACTTGGAGTCTGAGGGAACCAAGAGAATTATCTTTGGACAATCTTGTACCGGGAGGCGTCGAGTACGTAAAGGACGGACGATTTTTCGCCGATCTGGGCTGAAGGAAATACCTGCAAAAAATTAAGATTCCTAAAATTAACTAGTATTAAATTCACGTCACGCGTTTATGACGCTCATATTTATTCAAGTCTTCACAAACCGCAAGTTTTATGGTCCATTCTTAGTGTTGACGACTTATTAAATATCATTACTCATTTCCCACATTCGCGATTTAATTAATTAGTCATTGAATCGCGAAAATTTACGACAGCGTTTACGACACACATTGATTCAAAACTAAATTGCTTTCATTCAAGACAATTTAGTTTCCACCGTCAAAACAACAATAAGAAAAAACAATGAAATATAAAATTAAGAATGCATGCAATTCTATTTTTGACGTTCATGTTAATAAATTCCGAATTGTTTATTATTGTTTCTGCTCTGAACAACTGACATTTTCCTGAAAGGCAATTTTACTTGAATCATGTCAAGAATGTGACCTCAATAATTAAAATCTCAAGTGTTGAGATTAATTGCAAAATTTCCTTTTTAGGGTGACAAAAATCAATAAAATTGGAAATTACGTAATTTATATACAACTAATATCTCTCATTAAACTTAATTAACACTCAAGTAACCCAAATGTAACTGCTGAATTTGAAACAGCCAAAAATTGATATCTTCATTAACTTTTAGCCGGGATTTCTCAAGACTTAGATGGGAAATTACAAGTTTAATTGTGTATAATGATGTACTTATTCTTTTCAACTATTTTTTCGATGGTATCTTTTCATAAGCACGTCCCATTTCAATTTTCATTTTTTAAGTTCAAAAGAATCTCACACAATAATGACGTGAGCCAGAAATTACTACAAGAAATTAATTTCTGTTACTTAAATACAGTTTACCTTTATTGTTCATTGTAAAAAAATCTAATTTTCTATGATTGTCAGTTGAAATTATTCATTCCTGTGAGTAAGGAATTACGCTGACATTTAGAAAGCCCGTAAATTACTAAGCGAAAAGCTTTTTAGACTAACGTAGATTAATTTATTATGTATAATTTACAAATACAATCACTAATACGGGGTATGATTGCGTCAGAAATTTAATAATAAATAATTGTAATACGAATTGCAGGTGCACATACAAATCTGGAAGGTATGGGATGATACAGAAACTATGTAGCGATTTATACATGGTGACCAAAAATTGACTGACGACCTAAATGATTCATTCTTGGAAAAGCTTTGGGGAGCCCGTAAAAAATGTTTGAAAAAATCTCCTGTCTTATTTTTTTGAGCTATGATGAATTATGAATTTTACTAAGCTGGCAACGTTGTAATGTAGCAGCAAAAATAATGAAAGTAGCCAACAATTAACATTATTTCCGTTTCTCAAGAAACTAAGACAACATGACTTTATTCATTTATTTTAGATAAATTACACCTAACTTTTTTTAAATAAAAAATTACTTGTTCAAGTCTTACACAAATAATTTTTACTGTTGTTAACAATAAAATTCTCTGTTTTAGAAAAGGTAACATAGACCAGAATTATAAAATTTATTCGTCAACTTTGAAGCTTAAATAGTTTCTAAACTTCGGTTTACAGAATTTTTTAATTATGTTTTTGTAATTATTTAGAAAATTCACCAACCAGCTTATTCGTCATTTTTGATACAAGTACTAAATAACTAAAAGTAGCACTTTTTTATCATTTTCTGCACCAAACTAAGAAAAATAGTTATTTTTGTTACAAGTACCTTGTGCGGACGAATCGTTGTTGTTTCCGAACGAGACAACGACTCATTTTAGTAACTTCTTTGATTACTTGAAAATTTTTAATTGATAACCTTACGATGAGTTATTATTTTTTTTGGAAAGGGAGAGCATTTTCAAGCCGAATTATTTTCAAAGATTCAAGAAAAAATGACTTTATTACAAGATTCCATAAACCTCAATGTTATATAAAAATGCATCTACACATCCTGTATTCCGTTCGAATTTCACAAAATGTGGATTATATGAAAACAGTACTTTGTTATAAAAAAATTGCTACAATACAGTTGTTTGAACGATAAAAGCCAAATTCAGTGTCCAAAAAAAAACACGGTTTTAAGCATTTTTGTAGAAAATTATTGCTTTAATGCTTACCTACAAAATGAATTAACAATTCCACGACAAATGTAATTAAAATATGTGACTACCATGTCATAACTGTTAAAATAATAAGTTGTCAAGTCAGAAACTAGCAATTACTGTCTCTACCTTGTCCCCTACCCTGACAACACTTATAGAACTTATAATTAAGTGCTGGCATAAAAAGAAAAAGATCACTGAACTAAGAAAAATAAAGCAAGAATAAATATACAAGTTACGCCGATGTCTGAGTTTTTGAACAACTATTAAAAAATTAAATGCTCATTTAAAATTTCGACAAGTATAGCCACTGCTTCGATGAGAATTAATAATACGATTTGTTGTTTTTTTACTTGTCTAAATTTTAAATTTACTGTTCGACTATAATATAAAATTGACATTCATTGCAAGTTGAGTTTCGTAGTTGACTGTGAATAAAGGAACAACTGTTTTAGCGTGAACTATGCACATGACATTGCAACATACATTTTTATAACGACCTCAATATATGTATGATCGTACAAAAGAAATGTTATGATTCATGAAAGACGGATACGATCGTCTGATCCTACGCAAAATTCGTCACCGATGTAAACCTTACTGTTGTAATGTTAATCTCACGGTTATTAAGAAATGATTTTTATAAAAAATACTGACGGGAATTAATTTCTTCCGTTATACTATTTAATCCGGATATAGGTCAAAAGCAATTATTAATCAAAATAATTATAACCTTCGCCTTATCTCTTTCAATAATGAGAAAATCATAATCAACAAGAAAATTTCACATTCTATATAACATCCGGTCAGTAGCGACAGAATTCTTTCGAGTTCCAACATGGGAAAATTTTGCTATAGAATTAACTAAATTAGGAGAAATCTACAACACGAAAACAAGACTAACTTTAGACTTCAGTAACTTTAAATTCTCAACTTCTATATCTTTAAACAGACAAAAATAATAAAATATCATTCATTTGAAATTTGAATTTGAAACCAATATCATATCGAGAGCTTCATAACAGAAGGACTTATGAAAAAAATGAGTTTTTTGCCTATGAAGCACAAATAACACTGAGCAAGTAAGCATATTTCCCTAGTCGGGCGTATTTGTTACAATTTTATTAGAATTAATATCTTCGATATTAAAAAAACTTGATTCATTTTTTGAAAAAAAATTACCATTTTTTATTGCATTTCAACTATGTGGCCATTTTGTAATTTTCACTTGCATGTAAACAGGTGTGAGAATTGTAAAAATCACCCCTATTATTTACTTCAAAGTAAATAATCATTTCAATTTTATTTTTATTTTCTGGCGTAATAACAATTTATAACAATAATACATAGTATATTATTCAACGAGCATACGTTATTTTTTACGTAGAAACTAATAATGTAAAATCATAATATATAAAATATATTTTATTTATTTTATTTAAAAAAATAGAAGATACGGATTTGAAATAAAGACATTATACAGGCACTTTTTTACGTGTGCTAACAATTTTTTTCAGTTATGTGTTTAGCGGTAATAAGATGGACTTGTATTTTTTTTAATGACAGTCATAGGTGGCTATGNGTGGCTATGGCAATTTTAAAAAGCTTATTTTTTTCTGATCTAAAAAAATATATACCTCTTATTAACAGAATATTTTTCTATAATTATACTTAAAAAATGAAATACATATTTTGTTTGATAGTAGTTGGGCATGGAAAATCTATTTCACTTAAAATGTGTAGATAATAATCATTTTTGTCAACTGTGAAATAAATGAAAAAATTGATAAAATTATAAAAACTAAAAATACAGGGTGATTCTTAAATAGACCGACAAAATTTTATCCTTGGTTGTATCAAATGAGTACATGCTGGAAAAAATATTTAAAAAATTCTTCATTTATCTGTTCTCCAAATAAAATTTATTAAAGTCATTTTTAAGGTAAAGCGTACGCCACTGATGTATTCGTAAATAGTATTAGCACAGGTAGTGGAAACCATGGTTTTAATTTGATGAAAATGTACTTGATAATTGCAACAATTCATAAACGCCATAAGTGGCACGGATCAAGGGGGTTTTGCCCCTAAAAGGTATAAACGTAAAAAGGGTACAGTTTGTCTCCATTTATACTTGGGAAGCTGTGATAAAATTTTGTCGGTCTATTTTTAAGAATTACCCTGTATACGATACAAAATGATGACAGTAATTTTGACATTAATTTTGAAGATTAGATTAAATTTTATTTTCTATTTATTTTTAAATTTGTTTTTGTACATATTAAATCAGTCTTTAACTGTTATTTTACGTTGATGGGGCAGATCAAATGTTATAACGGCGCTATTATAGATTAGATTTTTAATTTTATTGTTGATATGGTGTATCTGCAGCAACATTTACAAATTACTTGATTTCTTGTATTAGAAAAGCAGTAAAAGTCATAGATATTTTAAAAAATCTAGAAAAAATCTTTCCAATAAAATAGTAAACGAATTGGGTGTTATGGAAATAATAACGCTTTCGGTCGACGTACTTTTCGCAGGCTAAATGGTCCTCGGATAGAACACCATCGACCTCATGCATTATTACTTATTTCTATGTACTTATAACACCTTTGATACCTTAATTACTATTCTGTCTCAAAAATTGAATATGTAAAATAATTTTTATTATAACACAGCTATTTATTTCAGGAATTCTTTTACTTATGACTAATTTTAATAATTATAAAAATTGATTTTGTATTTAAAATCCAATTATTCTGAACAGACTCCTTTAGTACTAAACTTCTAGAAAAATTAAAATAATAAAAAAGTCGAAGAATAAATAACTGACTAAAACGAGCTTTATTTTTGTCAAATTGGTGTCTGTTAAATACCGGGTGTCCCAGTCAGGCTTGGTTATAGGAAATTAGTTTTTATTTTTGTCCGGCTGCACGAGTAACAGAAATCAAAATCTGATTGATGAAGCTTGTAGTGCTCGAAAAGGGCTATCTTATTGACATTTTTGTCGATTCTCCAATTAACTTCATTTGAGCGAAAACGGCCCTCCAAAAATAGAAATTTGAATTTGCCGGGTTAGCGTTACTAAGCCCTTTTCGAGACCACAAGCTTTTGATTTCGGTTACTCCTGTATTCGGAAAAAAATAAAAACTCCATGTTAATTTCCTGTATCCAAGCCTGCCTGAGACAAAATGTCAAATAACACTAAACGTCAGTTAACTTTTTTTAATAATTGCAATAAATTTATTTGTTTTGGGTTTATTTCGTCAAAATTTTCTGTCACGTTTAGACTAGATTGTAAGTAGCCTTAAGTTGTAGTTATTAAGAGTATTCTTTTAAGTAATTGATGAAACAATTAAATAATTCAATGAGACGAAAATTCAAATTACATAGAGTAAATAAAAAACATCACAAAAACTATAAGACGTACAAGATATTAAAAAAAAATAATTTTAGCTCAAATTTCCTATAAAAATACAGTGAAATCGAAAATGTGTTGTGACAAGACATTTTGGTTTTCTATTTTAAGTATTAAATAGATCAAACATATCGACTAAGGTATTTTTTTTATTCAGTATAATAATATGACGGTTATTAACCTTTCGGAAGTTGAGAAGTATATTGTATCATTGCAACTCTTGGTTGGGAAGAAATTTATGTTAAATGACCCACTTTTGAGTCCACCAAATGTCAAAAACGCAATTTCCTTGCTGATATTTTTGACGGCGGAGAGTAGAAATCTTATGTCAAAACTGTGACTAAAGTAAAAATTGGAAGAAAAATAGGAAGAAAAATGAGCTTAACGACGGTAGCAAATTTTTGCTCTCGTTACTAAGTCATTCCTATTTATTAATAGGCTCATTGTCAACAAACATTTTTAGTGTTACCATGGTGTAATTTCAAATAATGCTAACTTTATGCTAATTTTTTAATTTTATTAATGAAATACAGGCAATTTCTTGGATGCTTTTAACTCATGTCGTGCAAAAATACTATATACACCCTTGATTACAATGTATTATTTCTATAAAATCGTTTTCAGACTTCTGGACCAAGAGTAAAAAAATATTAAGCAATAAATTGCAAATTAGAAAAGTGGGGCAATCGTACCCATTTCCGTTAAAACCGCAAATTACAACTAAAGATGACTAATAACAAATAACCAAAGATAAAAAATATTTCTCCGATTTCCAGTCACCAATATAATAAAAATAGTTGTTGGTTAATGGAAATTATATTCTTTTACCCTTATTATTTTGCCTTGCGTTTAAGCCCCCTTACCACGCATTCCTCGGCGCCGCATTCTGCTGCTGTATCCCGCTCAGCTGCACCCTCACTTCACCCAAAAACACATCGTCCCCCATTCCGGGGGCATCGTGCCAAATCGACACGTTCAATTCACAGATTTCCACTTCCTCCCCACACATATCTTTATCTCGCCCCTCATATCCGTCAAAAATAAAAACTTCGTCGAATTGAGGACACGTAGTTTTTTTCCTCACTTTCGTCCTTTTTGACACTGTCTTACGGTTCGTATAAGTCACACAAGCCACAGCATATGGATCACAAGCACCATTCTTCAACGTCAGATCTAAACACTTCACCACTTGCACGGATAAACGATCGTTACGGGAGTAACAATTCACCCATTTACTCTTGTGATGGCTCGAGGAGAATTTCAGTTCAATATTGACTTTACCCTGAACCTCTGAATCCGCATCAACGGGCTTTATGGCGAACCAATGGTCACGGTTGTTGTATGACGAGAGTTCCTCGCGTTTTATAGCCACTTTGCCTATGACTTTGTTTTGTTTGAGGTGCTTGTCTCGGTCAAAGAGGTAAATGGAGATGAAACGGAAGTCCCTGGGAACTTCAAACTGGTACTCCTCGCCGAAAAAGGGGCTACAAATTGGTATTTTAGGTTAAGTGGGTGATAGAGGTTAGGTTTGACTTACTTGAGTGTTTTCTCGGCTGTCTTGGTTCTGTAAATCTCCTCCTGGTCCAAGGAGATGATGCAATACACATCTCGTGCAACCGAGGATAAGTTTGATCTAGGTTGTAATTGCTTGGCTTCACCTGAAAAATGGCATTAGTGAGTAAAATAAAGCCCCAATCTGTTATTTTTGGCCAAAGTTTTGAAAATTTGTTACCACCTGCTAAGCGTTTGAACCTCAAAATGTCAACAAAGCATCCGTTGACATAAAAATGTAACAAAAGACAATCGCTCAACTGTCAATTACTACCCAGGGTGTTTAAATGAAATGTGTGTGTTTAATTAGATTAATTAGTGTGAATTGGACTCACCGATTTTAATTTTGAGCCTTTCCTCGACTCTCACTGGGACGTCCGCCATGTTTCTGTCTACTCCATGTTCTATTGAAAAAATGAATGGATCGGTTTGACATGAGTACAGACAGTGGACCGCATCAAGTCGCCCAGTTGTGTTGCCAACTTCAGCACTCTGGCATGAAAAAAGGCGCCATTTTCGAGGGGGTCGTGAATGAGAGACTTGAGGGTTGACTAACACGTGCTGTTATTCACCACCGGATTTTATGAATGAACTGAATGGGAATGCGACGGCAACTGCACTCACAAATCGTTACAAAGTAGCGCAAAGAGCGCACTACGCAAGTTCCGATTGTATGAATGAACAGAAAAAGCACACCGTATGTTCCCATAACTCATCCATTGCGATTAATTAATACAAATTTCATGACGGTGCTAGCACGTGGAATTATTCACTAGAGAGATTCCAGGACCGGCTCTTCCGGCAGATGGGAGCAGCTATAAATAATTCGGAGCGATTTGATTGGGTTTTGGAGTGTCATTCATGTCTCGCCTACGTTTGTTGTATTAAAGATTTGTTGTTATTTTTGTAAATAACACGAGACTGGGTCTCATATTCTGACGTAGGAAATCTCTGATAACTTTGGAGCCAAACAAAAATATGAATGGATATTAATGAATGAAAAGATTTACTTTAATGTTTAAACCAAAAAGGCTTTAATTTGGTTTGTTTTGAGATAAACTGGCTTACTGTTCGTTTAAACTGAACACAAATATTACTAAAACTTAAAGATAACGCTTTTCATCATTTTTATTATTGTGTGCAGCGGACTGCCAGACCCCTATATGAGTCTGAATTAGTGTGAATTAGCCGTTAAGTAATTAAGTGATTTATTGCTAAATTTTCTAATTGGTTTAATTTATGATCATTATTTTTAATAATAGAGTTTTCAATATGCAAAAATGGAAACTTTCTCATCACTATTCTCAAAAATGGTTCAGTCATTAGAGGACAAAGTAGACCACTGTGATTTTCAAAACGAGTTCTGGCAATTTGCAAGAGAAATTATCGTGAGATATAATTTTAAGTATGAAATGACAATACAAATATGAACATGCATGTATTTTATTTATTTCCACTAATTAAAAATGATATATTTATTTTTAGAAGCTCCTTATTTAATTTGAGATAAGTCAATATCTTTGAATTGTGTGATAAAATTATGTAGTTTCTATAGAAAATTCAAACTAAAAGCAAAACTTGAATTATCCACAAAT